ATATTTGTATATTTCAAGGCAGTGTTGAACATGCAATTCAGATGAGGGATATTGCTTAGCTATGACAGGTATTTCCTAGTTTTGAAGAAATATGTACATTCTCTAAGGAATAGACTAATTGAAAGGGAATTTAAATATACTGTGAAAGTGATCTATGATCTTGCTTACTCGAGAGCTGTCAATACGCAAGGTACAGTTATAAATGGTATTTACAGTGATCTTGCATAACATATATTGATTTCTCAAGCTCTTTGTACCCAAATGATCAGGGCAATTGTGTACAAGTCAAACTATAATGCAAATTCCTTGCTGTATAATAGTTGATGAATGCAGTTTTTTTGGTTGAATAGAGAATGCGCTGCTAAACAAAAATCACCCAGAATATAATGAATTTCCTGCCAACATAAATGGGGATATAGCTGTTCCTCTAATGCTCCTTGAGGACCAGTTCACACTACTAAAATGCACTCCGGATGCATTACGGATGCGTTTTTGCTTACAGTTCACACCACACGCAGTTCCGGTGCAGTTTTGATGCAGATTGCCATGTTCCAGTATGGCTCTGTGCAGAAAAAATGCAGCATGTTCTACTTTTTTTCTTCTCAGGAAACAGACTGGAAGTGACTGCACTAGTGTGAACCAGGGCCATTGGAATACATGGAAAACACTGTGCATGCATTTTTGATGCGGAAAAATAGTGCACTGAACTGCATCTAGTGTGAACTAGTCCTTAATAATTGGTGAATTTCTTTTCTGCAGACTTTCCTATTGGCTGAGGATGAGTATATTATCAAGTTTATAAAGTTACCAATCACAAGGGGATACCAAGAAGGGTTGCAGAGAAGGGGACTGTTGCTGGTCAGGTCAGGAGACCAAATGTTTTTCTCTACCTTATATAGATTTCACCAATGGAACATTCCATACAAAATAAATAATTGCTTCTCGTTTCTGCACATCTCAGTTTTCCATTGTGTTTTCTGTTCTGTAAAGAGCTCCAACTTTGCACCCTATTTTTTTTTAAATCCGGTGCCGTTGGAAGAATTTTTTTATAAGATATGAAAGCCAGCTTGTCTAGGGCTTTTCTAGGAACATTTTTAGTTAGGACTGTGACCAGTAGTGCATTAGAGAAAAAAAAAAACCCTGCCCTTGTGTACTCTGATGTCTAACAAGGCAAATGCCAACTTTTAAAGTAATTCTAAAAGAAAACAATCCGTAAAAAGGTTGCTTGCTATGGGGGCATTCGTGCAGGCTTGCTCCCGATCCCTGCTCTATTTGTCCATTCACATACATAGCATATCTCAGCTCTGTCCCCAATCTCTCTCCATTGGCTCACTGGCTGTGATTGGAAGGCTCTCCCTCTTGCCAGTCTGCAGTATCAGTCAATAAAAGTATATGTGAAGTCTTACCTTTTAAAACAACACATTCAGTTTAAAATAGAAACAAAAGGCAAATCATTTGTGTATAGATATAAAAAGCATTATAAATACCATTTTTCCCTTTTTATAAGTGATCACATTCCCTCTCTTATCAGCTGCATAAGGAGCTCAGAGAGCTGGGGGAGGAGAAACAGCAACACACAGGTCTTCCCAATGAATGGCTGTGCAAGGTGTGTGTGTTGCATTTTTCCCACCCATTGCTGCCCAGTCACAGAGGGCAGAGTAGAAGGCATCAGGGGGCATGGCTGGAGTGGTAGCTTAGGCCAATACTACTATTCACACTGGGAAGGTCGATGTGACATCTGTTCCCTTCACAGCAAGATAACTGACCACGCTGTGCTCTCATGGTTAGCGTGGTCAGGTTTTAATAGGAAATCAGAGGGACTGGCAGGAACACCAAGGATTTCACACAAAGGAAGCAATACAAAGAGAACAGGATACTTTTTCCACTCATACTTGGTACAGCAAGCACATATCAGGAATATGAAATGTTGGCTTTACATTTTCCTTAAAGCTAGGGGATAGAAGCATGGTAATATTTGATGGTCTATGTATAAAATGTTCATTGTGCGAGTATGAAAAACATCCACACATTTTGAATGAATATTGCTGTATTATCTTTAATGTGCGTAGTTCCTATTTCCTCAGTGCCACCTAGTGGCCATACTGTGTTTTTTCCTGATTGAGGCATTTATTGAAAAGAAATGCCTTATGGCCACGTAGGAACAACATATTAGAGGAAATATGGTGACTTTCATTCTAAATGTGTGTTTTGTAACATCTGCACAAAGAACATCTTATACATAGAGCCCTAGAGTCACAATTACACTGCTCAAAAAAATTAAAGGAACACTTTTTAATCAGAGTATAGCATCAAGTCAATTAAACTCCTGGGATATTGGTCTGGTCAGTTAAGTAGCAGAGGGGGGTTGTTAATCAGTTTCAGTTGCTTTGGAGTTAATTAAATTAACAACAGGTGCACTAGATGGGCAACAAAGAGACAACCCCCAAAACAGGATTGGTTTTACAGGTGGAGGCCACTGACATTTTTTTCCCTACTCATCTTTTCTGACTGTGTTTTCGCTGGTTTTGCATTTGGCTAGGGTCATTGTCACTACTGGTAGCATGAGGTGATACCTTGACCCTACAGAGGTTGCACAGGCAGTCCAACTCCTCCAGGATGGCACATCAATACGTGTCATTGCCAGAAGGTTTGCTGTGTCTCCCAGCGCAGTCTCAAGAGCATGGAGGAGATTCCAGGAGACAGGCAGTTACTCTAGGAGAGCTGGACAGGGCCGTAGAAGGTCCTTAACCCATCAGCAGGACCGGTATCTGCTCCTTTTTGCAAGGAGGAACAGGATGAGCACTGCCAGAGCCCTACAAAATGACGTGTGAATGTCTCTGACCAAACAATCAGAAACAGACTTCATGAGGGTGGCCTGAGGGTCCGACGTCCTCCAGTGGGCCCTGTGCTCACTGCCCGGCATCATAGACCTCGATTGGCATTTGCCATTGAACACCAGAATTGGCAGGTCTGTCACTGGCACCCTGTGCTTTTCACAGATGAGAGCAGGTTCAACCTCTTGCACACTAGGTTCCTGAAAGCACCTCTTGAACAGCACCTGAAAGCACCTTGCACACTAGGTTCCTGAAAGCACCTCTTGTACACTAGGTTCCTGAAAGCACCTCTTGTACACTAGGTTCCTGAAAGCACCTCTTGTACACTAGGTTCCTGAAACATTACTGTCAATCATGGTTTGTGCAAAATAGACAAGTTATAAAAATATTTTATAGATTTGTACTATTATTATTATACAGGATTTATACAGCACCAATAGTTTGCGCAGCACTTTACAACAGGGCTTGACAAATTTGCTTTGAATCTAGCAGCCAGCTAGACGCCATTTTGCATTGAAGTCAAGGAGACGTGATTTTGCATTTTTAACCTCTTTGTGCCTGCAATCTGTAAATAAATGTCCCCAGCACAATGCTGTATACAGTACATATCCAAAAGCCCCCCTTTTAAGAACCAGTATGCGATACTGACTCTCAGTCCCAGATGTCACTGACAGCTCAGGTTCCCACTAATGATCAGGAACCCATTGCAGTGTTTCCAATCATGTGATTACTATTTCCGTTATTTACTGTGTCTTCCAATACAGACTGTAAGTTTTTTTTTTTTTTTGTTTTTACTAGAATAAGTAGTCTATACTCTAGATCAGGGGTGTCCGAACTTTTTTCAAAGAGGGCCAGATTGGATGAAGTGAACATGGTGGAGGGCCGAACATTTTTCCGAACATTCTTTGAACCATTACAATTAAATGCAAATAAATTATTTTATGCCAAGTTAATTGCAAACGACATACTTTTCATAACATTAAGATCAACTGACAGCTGAGTTTTCACAATGTATTGAAAATAAATTTAAAAAAAAACTTACCTGCACTAATGTGAAGGGTGAAAAAGGTAGCTGGAGCTGAAGTCTCTGCTCGGCAGCCGGGAGGGGAAGAGAAACACACTTCACGCTGGAAGCCCGGCCCTGACGTCACCGCCCTCTGTCGCTCCCAGCGCGGCGCAGTCACGCATGCGCACTGCTCTCAAGCAGAAGACTGTCTGCCACAGAAGGGAGGGCCGTGTGACAGCCGCATTTACACAGACCAGGGAGAACACGCCGCAGTCAGGCATGCGCACTGCCCTCTGCTCTCAAGCAGAAGACTGTCTGCCATAGAAGGGAGGGCCATGGGAGGGCCACATTACACAGAGCAGGGAGGGCTGTTGCAGGGCCGTATTAAACCGACCCCCCGGGCCGTAAATGGACATGCCTGCTCTAGATGAAAGCAGTGCCGTCAGTTTTATACTGTAATTGTCCAGTATTAAATACTATAATACATTTTTTTTAGACATGCAAATTAGTCATAGAGTCATTGTCAAGTTAACCTACACATGCTAATGCTGAGAAATTTGGCCTAAATAGTTAGGCATCAATGACCTTTGTTCACAAAAGGGTAAACGAGGATTTATATCTTTTTTTGAGTGTTAGCTGATCTTTCCTTCTAGCTCCTGCGTTTTTTTTCTGTTGTGACATGCCTTTCAAATATAGCAGTGCTCTAAGAAAACTATGGTATCTGAGCTGTCAGATGGCAGTCTATCTCAACGTGTTAAAAGGAGCAGATAGTGGATTACCTGTTATTAATGAGGGAAGCGTGGGTATATATAGGCAATCCCTAAGTTAGAAGCATTCAACTTACATACAACTCATACTTAACCCCAACTCAAATCTTAACGCCTAAGCGCAATTTTGCAACTTTGACTTATGTTAGTATAACTGTACATATCATCACAACTACTTTGTGCATTCAGGTGAATTATACCGTGTTTTTTTCAGGACAAATTGGTAAATGGTAATGGATATCTCCTGATTTTTTTTATTACCAAATGAAAACTGACCCAAAATAGTAAAAAAAAAACATTTTTTTTAAATTTTACTGTATATTTCTTGACACTACCATAACCTACCACCAAAGAACAACCCAAAATAATTTCACCTGCTCCTGACGATCTCAGCGATACCACTAGTGTGTATGTTAGTTGTTGTCTGTACCCAGAGTACAGCCCATAAACAATAGTGCGGATTTTGCTTTATTTTATCTTGCCATCAGGGGCGGACTGACCATTTGGAAACTTGGGCACTGCCCGAGGGCTCGGATGTCAGTGAGGGGCCCCATGAGATGCCCCTGGTACCTTTTTCATAGGCTTTTTGAGTTTGGACAAGGACACAGGGGCCCCATGATCCCCTATTGCCCGGGGGCCCCATGAGTTGTCAGTCCGCCCCTGCTTGCCAATAACTGACACTGATACTAATTTAAAAAAAATCCTGATCCCCTCCTGAAAAAAAGATCCTTGACCCTGACATTTGACCCTAACCTTGACCTTTGACCCCGACCTATACTTAAACACTAACCTTGGCACAGGCCTAGATCGAACCTTGATCTAGATATTTTTATTTATTGTTTTATTATTTATTTATTTTTACACACACTTTTTTTTTCTCTCTGAAAGGACAGAGAGATACAATATATAATACAATGTATATAATGATATAAGTATCTCTCTCCTCCATTCATAGAGAGAAACATGGGGGGAAGGCTTCACAGTGACTGATCACTGTGATTTCCAATCAGAGGCTATCACAATGACCAGCTGACCCGGAATTGGGAGTTCCAGGTCCCGATTGTTAGAACAGAACCCGGGGCTCTCAGTGACACCCCCCAGTCTTTGCACTGGGAGCGTACTGTACGGCGTGCTCCCAGTAGAAAGACAGGTACGCAAATTAACAGCCCCACGGAAAAAAGCCCAGTTCTGGGAGGCCACTAATTTGCGAGTGGTCGGCATCAAGGGGATAAGAACAGAGGTAGCATGACATCACGCTTGTCCCGGAAATTGCCAGGTGGCCATCTTGCTGCCCACAGCATGCACATGTGCATCCTACTGTCCGCCAAACCAGTCAGCAATCCCACTTCACTGCATTGCCAGTTAACCCTTCCCTATGCTATCCAAAACTTTAAAAACAATTTTGGCTGGAGTTATGCTTAAAAAAATTTACCTATTCCAACTTACATACAAATTCAACTTCAGGCAAACCTACAGAACCTGGTTTGTCACCTGGGGACTGAAACAGCTGGAGGCTTTCTAATGAAGCTGAAAATTCATTTTCACTATAAGGCAGATTACTACCACAGTAAACATTTTAATGATCATGCCATTTTATAGAATTTTTTTGTACTGTGATGATCTGTGACAGAGAAGATATCCATTTTTGAAATAATACAGGGGTATATATTGTTATGTAAATGTTGTGTTGTGTGCAAAGCAGAAGTAAAATTCAAACAAGATTGTTATTAATGTTACCAGTACTTCCGAGCATTTACCTTGCTTGAATAAATACCATCTGTTCCTATACACTCCAGGTATATAGCGTTCTCTCGATAAAAGCTGGTATTCATGAAATTTCATTTTTTTGTTGTCTTAACCTATTGATGTTTTTTTGCTTTCATGAACTATGGTACTTCCTACCTTATGTTACATCTTTATTTCCCATTGTTTTTGTCTTTATGTCAGCTTTAGGAATGAAGGAAATTGACAATTTTTGTTCTTTTGTTCTTTTAAGATGGAAAAACAGTGGGCACATGATCAGCAAATCCTTGTTTCACCTACTAATCACTTGCCAATTGTTTGTAGACAGTGAGAAAATTCCTGTTATGTCAATAGAAGAATATTGCACCCCTTTATTGACATAACATAAGACACGTGATTAGCAGGACAAGCAAATAAAAATTTTTTATATCCTTTCTGTTGTGTTTTTTTTTTATGATGTACTTTAAGTTAAAAATATGAAAAACATAATAGTAAAAGTTCTGACCTGTGTTTTTCATGTACAGTATTTTCTTTGATATACATTCACCGGCCAGTTTATTAGGTACACCTTGCTAGTAGGACCCCCTTTTGCCTTCAGAGCTGCCTTACTTCTGCATGGCATAGATTCAACAAGGTGTTGGAAATATTTCTCAAAAATTTTGGTCCATATTGACATGAGTTAACGTTGCCTTTCTATCATTTCACACCATTCTGCCCATTCTCCTCTGACATCAACAAAGCATTTTCCACACAGCTGCAGCTCACTGGTTATTTTCTCTTTTTCGGACCATTCTCTATAAACTCTAGAGATGATTGTGCATGAAAATCCAAGTAGATCAGCAGTTTTTGGCATACTCAGACCAGCCCGTCTGGTACCAACAACCATACCACGTTCAGAGTCACTTAAATTCCCTTTCTTCCCCATTCTGATGCTCAGTTTGAGATTCAGCAAGTGTCTTCACCACGTCTAAATGCATTGAGTTACTGCCATGTGATTTGGCTGATTAGCAGTTTGTGTTACCAAGCAATTGAACACTTATACCTAATAAAGTGGCCAGTGAGTGCATATTGTTATTATTTCAAGTTTTTAGACAAAAGAAAAAACTGAGATTGAGACTAAATAGCTACTTGAAAACTGTAAGGTAGGTGTCATTAGTCCAGGGCCCCCGATCTGCTTCTCGAATAGCCAATAGTAGCATTTAAAGAAGTTAAGACAATTCAAAGTAATTAACTAATGTTGATTACGCTTTCTAACCTGCTCTAATCATCTTAAAAAGCTATAAGTTAATGACACAAACGCTCCTGACAGGTACTTGAATCCTTTCTTAAAGCGGTATTAAATCCAAGAACAAACTTTTATTATATTGCAGCTTACCAATTCTTAGATGTGCTGACTGCATTCATTTTCTTTTTAGTCTTTCTTTCTTCTCTTTTCAACTGGTGATTCAGCCAAGCAAGTCTGCTATTTTTCAGCTCAAGCTCTCCAGCAGAATGTATCAGTTTAAATGGATGAGACAGACCATTTAGCACTGCCAGGATTGCTTTCAATCATCAACTTTTATTTATCTATGTAAAACCTTTATCACAAAAAAAGTTTGCTGTAACTGATTTTACTGAGATTTAAAATCGCACGATTTGTGTGCGATTTCAGCTCAATGTCAGGTGCAATTTCTGAAGACTTTATTGCGACTTGTGAAGATTTTCAACAATTTCTTGCGATTTACATTGCGATTTACATTATATTCTATGTACGATAAACTGCAGAAAAAGTAATGCAAGCACTACTTTAGAAATACCGCTGCAGAAAATTGCACATGTTAAGACACTGACATTCACATTCATTAGATGCAATTTTAGGTGTGATTCGCAAATCGCACCTGAAATCGGGCATTTAAAATGGTATTTATCTCAAAATTATAAAATTTTGGCAGGACACATCTCTGGACTAAAGGTAAGTATTGCAGCAAAACACTGTTTTCTTTTATGGATCTTTTATCTGTGTTAAATATTTTGGTTTTGATACATTTTAACTGCTTCCCAACCACCCTATAGCAGAAATACTGCTACAGGGTGGCATGGGTGTGCAAAATCACATATCTCTATCCATTCAGTCGTATCTGACCCTTGGCGATTGCATGGACCGTCACTCGAAAGCGACTTTTTCCATGAATTCTCTTAGCAATTATTTTTACAGGGTAGGTTGCCAGGTCTTTCCCCAACCCCTACCATGCAGGAAATCTCACGTGGCCAGAAATTAAACTAGGACAATTTAGACAGGAGTCAATGAACCTACCAGCATGTCTTTGGAATGTGGGAGGAAACCGGAGCACCCAGAGAGGAAACCCACACGAACACAGGGAGAACTCCATGCAGGAGGCACCGTGGTTGGGAATTGAACCCATGACCCAATTACTGCAAGGCAGAAATGGTAACCACTAAGCCACTGTGCCGCCCAAAATCACATATATATACTTGATTTTGCATTTCCGGGTAGGGGGCGCAAGCAAGCCGCGTGTGCACCCTACCTGCGCCACCATCTCCAGCTGTCAATCACCGGATCCCGGCAGGTAATTACTCGCTTGTGCCCAGTGATTTCTGAGGATCTCCAACGAGGAGGAGAAGTGTATTGTTTAATAACAGTTCTCCTCCCTGTCAGCTCGGGCACACTGCTTTGGATGGCTGTGCACAGCCATCCAAAGCAGTGTGCTTATAGTGAAGCACACGGACACAGCCCCCTAGTGAAACACTCCCAGCACACAGTTAACCCTTTGATTGCCCCTCATGTTAACCCCTTCCTGTCCAGTGCCATTAGTACAGTGTCAGTGCTTTTTTTTTATCACTGATCACTGAATTAGTGTCACTGGGAATGTCAGTGACACCACGTCAGTTCCCCCCAGTGTCAGAATGTCCGCCGCAGTCCTGCTGTTCTGCTATAAGTCGCTGATCGCCACCATTAGTAGTAGAAAAAAAAAATCCAATTATATATACCTTCATTTGTAAACACTGTAACATTCATGTAAACCAAATAATTTACACGTATTGGGATTTTTTGTTAGCAAAGACGTAGTGGAATACATTTTGGTGTAAATTTATAGCAAAATTAGATTTTTTGAATTTTTTTTACTGGACATGCAAAAGTTTTTTCTCAAAACTGTCTGTATTTTTTTATAGCGCAAAAAATAAAAACCGCACAGGCGATCAAAGAAAGAAAGCTCAATATGTGGGAAAAAAAGGACATACATTTAATTTGGGTGTAGCGTTGCATGAGCGTGCAATTGTCAGTTAAAGTAACACAGAGCCGTAACACAAAAATGGCCTGGTCAGGAAGGGGGGGGGGGGTAAATCCTCAGGAGGGCAAGTGGTTAAAGGCTTTTTGTATAGTACATTGGAGGAGGGGGTGGGGGGTTGTGAGGTATGAAACGCAGGAAAATTCTGAAAAAAATAAGATGTGTGTAGTCTTTTTTTCCTTGCTATATTCCCTTCATAAAGTAAAATAGGTTCACTTTGTTCCACAGGTAACCAGTTTGGAAAGAACCCTTATTTGTACCAACTTAGAAATGACTTCGATATCTTGTTTTGTTTTGGTTTATCTATAGTGATGTAGGCAAGCTAAATAAGACTTCCCCAGAGATTTGATGACAGAGGCCCTTCTCCCAAGAGCTGTATTGCTGTCTAGAAAACATTGAAAACACCAGACTCCCTTCACTAAGGCTCTGTAAAAACATCTTGAATTACAGCCCG